CGCAGTCGTCGCGTCTCAATCGCTAGGCGGTGCCGTGTTTATATCAGTTGGCAATAGCGTGTTCCAGAATCGTCTTGCGGATCTCATCGAGCAGACGGAGATTCCAGGTCTCGACGTCCGTGCCATCGTTGGCGCAGGGGCCATCGCCTTCCGAAAGGTTGTCCCGGCCGAACAGCTTCCCGCCCTACTTACGTTATACGATAAAGCACTACATACGGTCCTTCTGGTGGCGATCCCGCTTGCCGGCTTGGCGTTCTTGTCGTGCTGCGCCTTAGAATGGAAGTCCGTCAAGAAGCCAAACAAACCGGTAGCTGAAACAGAAAAGGTGTAAATACGGATAGGCTATTTTACTTTCACTTTGTCATATTATTGTTAACTAGGGTTTGATAGGTTCGGATATGATAAGTAATGGGTCAGGACATGTATCAATACGGCGTATTAATGTCAAGGAGAACATAGCATTGTTTTTTAAAATTTCCGCGTTTAATGCCAGCTTGCCACGGTGCCACGCGCATAGCGTAATACAACCCTTGTCGCTGGGGATCATCAAGCATTACCAAGCCAACAGGGCTGGCCGGGGTCTGGTAAATCTGTTTTATGCTTACCTTGCTTAGCATGTGCTCCGTGGATCAGGAGTAGGAAACAAGATGAATTCACACTTTGGCTTCATTATACACATATGATAGATAGATGGGCTTTGTTGATTAATTTAAGATATAGTTACTTACAAGCAATTGTTTCAAGAAAAAGAAAGAAACGACTTCGTCTTTGACTCCGTGGCATGATAAATCTAGATAGAGCATGATAAGTTCGGAAAACGGGACATAGGGGATCCTACAGGGTGGGCATATCTACAAACCCTGGTGATCTTATCTGTGTTTTGGGCAGCACATAGGCCGTGCTCCGTGGGACAACAAAAAGTCCAGAGGCAACCAAACTTCGGGACGAAAAGAACCACCCGCCATTCACTCATTTGATGATTTTTTTCTATTTTTTTCTTTTTCCTCTTGTTCGTCCGAGCACCTCTTTTTTTCGGTGCATTTACGCGCGGCTGGACCGAAAAAGACAAATAATTCGAGACGCTCCCCCCCTTTTGTTTTTATTTAGGGAAAATAAAAGGGTGTTAGTTAGGTTCAAGAGATCAACCAGCCAGCCAAAGCCAGAGCCAGAGCCAAGCCAAGACAAGATAAGCCATGGGGATACAATGGTGGGAGGAATTCGGGGAGAAGCACCCTCGAATATACGACAACGTGACGAATGCGGCACACGCCATAAGGCCGTACCTACCGCCGATTAACTACATCACGCTACACTATGCGTACTTCATCGGGATGACGGTGGTGGGGACGCTGATATTCTGGGGCGCGTCGGCGCCCAAGTACAGCGTCGGGTGGTGGGACAGCATGTTCATGGTGATGTCTGCGCTAACGGCATCGGGGCTCAACACGGTCAACGTCAGCGAGCTGACGACCTTCCAGCAGGTCGAGCTGTGCGTGCTGATGATGATCGGGAGCCAGGTCCTCATCTCGTACGTCACGATCGCCTTCCGCAAGCACATCTTCGAGAAGCGCTTCGAGGACATTGTCAAGATGGAGCGCGAGAAGCGGAAGAAGAAGGTGTCTGGCACGGGCGCGATCGTGGGCATGACGGGCGCTATGTTCGGGTTGCAGGTCATGTCGTCTTTTGGAAAGGGGAAGTCGTCGTCGGCGGCGGCGGAGAAGCCGAAGCCTGCGTCTCATGCGAGGAATATCTCGTCATCGAGTAGGAGGGGGATGCCTACCGAGGAGACGATCCCCGAAGTCGATATCGAAAGCGGGAGGGGTCAACAGCACCACCATATTAATTTCCTCGAGCCTGTTCAGGAGGGTAAGTCTTTCGAACCCCATGCACACACCCACGCAGCGACGACAGGACATTCGATCTACCAGACGCAATCTCACCAGAGCGGAGCGACGAGACGACGATCTGGGACTGCGGAGTCGAGGACAGGGTTTGAGGGGTTCAACGTGCAGACGTTTCTGAAAGAGCAGAAGCGAAATATCGGGAGGAACGGACAATTCTTCAATTTATCAGAGGACCAGCGAGAATACCTAGGTGGTGTCGAGTATCGTTCTCTCAAATTCCTGTCCTTCTTCGTCATCGTCTACTTCCTGCTCTGTCAATTCTTCGGTGCTATCGCTCTTGGTGCTTGGATGTCGGTTTACGCAGTCGATACCGCTGCGGTCAATGCCCAGAATCCTTGGTGGGCAGGAATCTTCCTGGCCATATCTGCGTATAACAACGCCGGCTTCACGCTTTTGGATGCGGGCTTTATACCCTTCCAGTCTTCGTATTTCCTGCTTGTCGTCGTCACGCTGCTATCGCTCGCTGGTCCGGCCGCTTTCCCGGTCTTCATGCGGTTTATAATATGGAGTATGTCGACGTTGCTGAATCTCTTATCCAAGGATAAGGAATACACAGTCTGGAAGGAGGGCTTTGACTTCATATTGAAGTTCCCTCGCCGCGTGTATACCAGTTTGTTCCCTGCCAAGGATACGTGGATGTTTGCAGCTACGTTTATGACCTTTGTGATAGTCGATTGGGTTCTTATTCTGCTCCTTAGCATCGGAAACCCAACCATGGATGCCATTCCTGTCGGCCAGCGGATCTTTGACGCGCTCTTCCAGGGATTTTGTAAGTGCCCCCTTCTTCTGCCGGTAATAAATAGTGATTTGGACAATATCATAAGCTAATGGACTGAATAGCGATCCCTTCAGGAGGATACGCCATAGTATCTCCCTCGGCCATGTACTTTGACATTCTTGTCCTTTGGCTCGTCGTGTACTACACCGCGGCTTATCCCCACATCATCACCATGCGAAACTCGAACGTCTACGAGGAGCGATCTCTAGGTATCTACGAAGGCGACCAACCGGAAGAAGAACAGCTTCACTCCGCAAGCAGCAGCGTCATCGAGGAGGAAGCTGCCAACATCCTCGACGAAACCGGACTACAGCCAGTCACGACCAATAACAAGAACTGGGACGCGATCTCCCGAACGCCGACTACTAAATCCATCAAGATGCTTTATTCGGTCGGTCGACGCGGTACGGCCTTCGTAGGTCGCCAGATCCAGCGCCGCATGACGGCCTTCCAGGGTGTCGGCGTTGCCGCTCCCCCACCCGGACCGGCCATCAAGCCGCTCGCCCGCGCCAAGACGATGGATTTCGGTCGAGCCTCCGTGCACTCTCTCCAACACCACCCGCCCACGGGACCGCCCAGCCTCGTCTCGCAGCAGGTGCGCGGCCAGCTCAGCCACGACGTATGGTGGATCGCGCTGATGCTCTTCGTGATCACGCTCATCGAGACGAGCCACTCGCTCGCCGACCCGGTTTCGTTCAGCGTCTTCAACATCCTGTTCGAGATCGTCTCGGGGTACACCAACATCGGCATCAGCATCGGTCTTCCCGACCAGAGTTACAGCCTAAGCGGCGGCATGCACACGGGCAGCAAGATCATCATGATCCTCGTCATGCTGAGAGGTCGGCACAGGGGCTTGCCCGTCGCCCTGGACAGGGCTATCAAGCTGCCGGGGAAGAAACTCGCCGAGTACGAGGAGGAAGATGCTGAGATCAGGAGCGTATCTGCTTTTTCGCGTTGAAAATTTTACACTCAATAGTTGTGTTTATTACGCACTACAAATGATGTTATCAGCATAAAATCAGGTGCTTCTAACATCATCTCATTATGCACATAACCCCAGGCCAGACAGACACTTACAACTTTGTTCTTTCCCTTTGTCATTTCCCCCCTCCCTTTTTAAAAACTTTTTTATCGAGATATCAAACGTAAACTAGATGGGATAATAGAGGGCACGGATAGCGATTTCAAGGGTGGATACATGTCTACACCCTTTTTATTTCGGCGGCCGTTTGGGTGTAAGGCAGGGCGTTTACGCGCGGGCGGTTCGTATACGTTTTTTTTGTTTAATATAAAAAGCTGCATGAAGTTATTGGAATTCATTGATAATTCGTTATAGATATTTTTATACAAGCACACTTTTGTCGCCCTTGAGATATTGAGTTAGTCACCCCTGTTGATTGACGTTGATATTAGTATACGCAAATGGAGGGCTTTCTTGTACAATATTGTATAGAAGAACGTTTCGAATATATATTTTTTCTACGTCCTAATTGACTAATAACTACATTCTCTATGGACTTGTCATCCTTGTGCGGGCATCACGACGGGATCTTCTAACAAGACAGCATAGACTGAAAAATGCATCTTTACCAGTTGAGCGGTAAAGCTGTTGTCAAGGTTATCCAGTCCATTTAACAACATAGCCAACAATCCATCGGAAGTTCTAGGAGCAATAATGACAAGTCCACTGTGAAATAAAGCACTCTTATACAGAGCCATATCCAGCACCTGCAGATATCTGGTATCTAACAAATACATAGTACCCTAGTTTCATATAACTAAAGGGATAGCCTCAACTCATCGACAAGCTTGCCATTGGAAACTTGTCCCGAAATATGTTCGGTAGCCCTTCCGGCTTGGCCCATGCACGTCCCTCAAGGCTAATCCCTACGCCGGGCTGCGGGCCGGAGTAGCTTCCGCGGCTTGTCCGGGCCGGTAGGGTGTTATTACAACCCCAGATACTATATTAACAAAGTCATTATATGCCCCTATATTTACGTTAATGTATCTAATCCGTCGGAGACTTATTTTAAATATACGACGGGACGGAACGGGATAAGACAGGACAAGACAGGACCCAGACTGCAGTCAGTTAACCTAGAAGTTGAAAACTGGCGTCAAGCTGTATAACTAGGTACAGATGGCTTTCCGCACTTATTATATGTTAAGCATGCAAGGACCTCGAGTAGCAGTGGTGTATACCTGTGTTTAAATCTCGTCACCAAAGGTAGGTACCTAGGTAGGTAACATGATTGCCAACCCAAGTTTGCGCATTCGAATATGATCACACGTAACAATGCAATCTTTCACCAAAGGCTGCCCGGTTAGCTCAATCGGTAGAGCGTGAGACTCTTATGATTCTCGTGAAAACAAGATGAAAAGAAATCTCAAGGTTGCGGGTAAGTCCTCTAGATATAAAAAATTCTTGGGAGGGTCAAACTTGTGCTAACCCTCTTCCATAGGTTCGACCCCCGCATCGGGCTCAATTCCTGATGCTTCTCATTAAATTGAGAAAAAACAAAATCAACCTTCATTTTTTTTGCCCTTGGATTTTTTTGTGCGCATGTACCTAGGGACACCCTGGCACAGACGGGATACCCCTGTTGTTCTGTATGACCTACGAGGCAATTCTTAGCGTAGCAGCTAATTATCTACAAGGATCTCAGAGATGCAGCAAAGATTGAACAAATCTTTCATATTTTTATTACTATTTTACATGTGTCTTGAAACTGACCTCCACCTCCTTCACCATACCATGTTAGCCAGCATGCACTTCTGCCAGTAACAAAATCGACCGGCTTGTCCGAGTGTTGAACTCTTAATCGCGAGGTAGCTATCGCAGGTCCTTGTAACGTTGCACTGGTTTAGTTGTGTAATAGAACATTACCTGCACCTTCGCGAGCGCAATTCATGAATCATGAAAAGTCGAGTATAGTTGAGTATCGTTTCATGTCGAATTTAATCCGTACTATGGCTAAAATGTAGGTGTCTTAAACCCGGGAATCATGACCATGCGCCCAAGATCTATCAAGAGGACCAAAACACTCAAACCCATTGAGTGTCAAGTCCAAGACAGGGGTATATATTAAAGGCGATTATGAGGACAAGGCCTCATAGAAGCGAATGGTATTGCTTCCGCGCGGCCTTTCTCTTCGCGCATGTGGTGTATCCTTCTTCTCCAGACGCCCGAGAGACATTTGCTCTTGCTACTCTTGTTGCTCTTATTACTCTGTTACCGGATCATCCTATATATCTCTAATCAAAGTCTCCCCATGTCTCAATTACAACATCTCTCTCGCCTATCCGGACGTCGGCTCTCGGTTTCCGTCGAGATGGACGCCCTGATGAGCGACCGGACGAACGACTAGCAGCATGTCGGTGACTGGATTTATACCCAGCTCTGGCTCCGCTTCGGTCATGGCTTGGTGCCGGGGAGCTCATGCAATTGCCCATAGTTCCTCCTTGCACTGAAGTCGGCGGGGTATTTGCAGCACTGTAATTTCTGTTGTGTGCGCTCTCTGATTTCTAAGAAAGGGATGGATAATGTGGTTCCCTTGAACGGATATATAAGGATTTGCGATTAGTATGGTCAATAAGTCAAGTAGGGAGATGCGATGCGGAAGGGAGAATTAATTATTGGAAGGGAGGAATTAATTATATAGTTACACTTCATCCAAGCCTCTATTCGGAGGCAGCTGATCTGCAGTGGTGGCTCTAGTAAGTATGTCACAAGACCGCTTGCTCGTATCTGACCTAATAGGTAGGCAGACAAGTGACTCAGAAAGGCTCATTATCGTGACTTAGCAAGGGAGCTGACTAGGACTATAGAAATCATTCACGTAGATGCATAGCCCAATTAAATATAATCACCTTTGGTCTTCACACATTTTTTTATTGAGCTGACTGTCTTGCTGAAGTGTAGATTTGTATAACCATAAGTATACAATCAGGCATCCAACAAGGTTATAAGTCCGGAACCAGCAATTGCCACGCCCAACATGCCGTGCGCGTGATTGACGTAACTCTCAACCGACAATAATATCTAATAAGCCTCAACCCTATTGAACAAATAAAGTTAATAAATGAGCCTGTCATGTGCTTGTTAAATAAACTCGAGCTTCTAACGGATGCTTGAAGGATACCACTCTAGTAAATCAAGGGAGCCCCGTGCTAGTAGTGCTAGATACAGCTTCTTCTATATAGCTCTGCATATAGCTCTTTATAGAATAGGAAGCTATTATCACTTAGTCACCGTTAGTATTTGGTAGGGTCACGGTCAGTTACTCCTTTACTTTTTAATCTTCAAAAACGGTTCAAGTTATTGAGTCTTAATCTAACGTATATAGTAACCCATTTGAAGCATCTGATTGCAGCTACGTGTACCTATGGGTAAAGCTTAGTTGTATCATAAGGAATTTCAACTCCAAGTTACAGAAATTGGGTAGTTAGTGACTGTATAACATCTAAAGTATCCTTCGCAAGGATATTTTATCCAAAGTCTTAGTATAGTGAATACAGAAGAAGCGAGTGTAGTGTTAAGCTACATGCCCGATATGATATTGTTTAGCTAACTATTCAAATTGCACCCTACTTAGCAGACAGGTACCATATAGATGTTATTTAACAATCTATCCAACCTCCTCTCGCTTCAGTATTAGATATCTTCCCTATCATTATCAATCTACCTCCCCTAATCGCCAGTCGCAACCAGGCCAACCCGAAAAAGGCCCATCTATCTCCGTACCGGCAATCTACGAGCTTCCGCAAAAACATCCAAAATATCCATCTCCCTTGTCGGGCCTCATCTCACATAACACCCTCAACAACGGAATTGGAGCAGAGAAACCATGGGTAACTGCCTCAGCTCCTCTAGTAACAGCGACGACTCTTTTTCATGCTCCGATTGCTGCTATTCATGTGCAAGAAAGTGCGAATGCGGTTCTTTTGAGGATTCGGTTTACTTCTTTCACTGTTGCGGTGGGTTCGGTATGTTTTGTCCATGTTGTCGTGGGTGTTTAGACGATCCAGAATAAGACAACAGACGCTTGTCTCTTCGCATCTATCTACCCATTTTTAGTTTAAGGGGGTCGGTTTCTGGTATCATACATAGCACTTACTGCATCATAATATAAATCACCTAGACAAAATTTATAGGTGTATAATCCTCTAACTATCTAGATCCTGTTGTTACTGCATTTTTATCGTACTTCGTAATATTATTATATTAGCACATGTTGACCCACCCCAAGCTATGGTAACATGTACTGGGATGGCTTATTAGCTCCCCTAAACGACATGAGTATGTAGGTACAATACATACTACGACCACCAATTTGTAAGCAGCTTTGAAAAAGGGAGACTACTAATCTTATACATTAGGTACCTAACCATCTAACAACTAAAAACAAATGACGTCGCATCGGATTTAAACCCTAGTGAATTCCCAAAATTATTTTAAACTTCTATCTTCCCGCATTATGCCCGCAATTCCCCGCCAGAAAGCCTGCATTGCCTGTGCGGACTCCAAGCGCAGATGCGATAAGCAGCTCCCCGAGTGTCAGCGATGCCTCGACAGAGACGTGGATTGCGTCTATCCGCAGCCTAAGAGGCGACGGAGAGACCCGCCAGCAGGAATCAGTCAGGTTGAAGGACCTCCCGCGGTTCAAGACCCCATCCCGGCCGATCCCGATGTTCCGGGACCCGGTCTCGATTTCGGGGACTGGGGCGCTATCGGAGCCGACGACTTGGACATGTCCCTGTCGGATATGATGATGCCGTATATCCCATCCCCACCTGCTCTTATTCCCAATCAACCAACGCAGAGAATCGCGCTCGAAAGCGACGATCTCCCTAGTAGCACGCCTAATGCTTGGTTTCTCGGGGACGAGACGTGGACCTTGCAGCACAGCCAGAAACAACCCAGAACGCCGACGAACCTCGACTTGGAGCCATTCATCCAAGCGGTGGAAGAAATGCTGCAATTCTGGGTCCAGAACGGGTATAATAGCTTCATCCATCGGCGGTTGTACGATAAGGACATGCCTGCCTGTGTCCAGGACGCTTTTACTACCTTCGCGACGTACGTCGGTCGCACCCCGGCCGTCAAGGACACGATACTGCAGATCGCCGAGCAACGATCTTCCGCACTCGTTAACCAAGCACCGTGTACTATCACCGCCGGCGCCGGCGCGCAAGGCATACGAGCCCATCTGGCGCGCGTACACGCGCTATTCGTCTACCAGTTCATACTGCTATTCGACGGATCAGTGCGTTCGCGCGCGCACGCCGAGAAGCACCAGCCGACGCTGCGGCAGTGGGTCACGCAGATGTGCTCGGCAGCCAAACAGTACCGCGGGGAAGATATATTCCCCCCGAACCCTCATTCCTACTCGTGGGCCCTGAGCAAATTCGACCGGGAATACGAAACCGCGTCGGGGATGTGGAAACTGTGGATCCTGATCGAGAGCGTTCGCCGCTCGCAGCTCATCATCGACACCATCTCCAACGTGTACGATACGCTGACCAAGGGGTGGGCAGAATGTACCGGGGCGGTCATGTTTACGGCCCGTCGCGGCTTGTGGGAGGCGGACTCGCCGATGAAGTGGTTTGAGCTGTCGTCTGTCAAAGAGCCGCTCTTGGTCCCGTCGTTACTGCCGGGGCCGCTTATCTCCCAGTACGATGCTGATGAGTTTGATGATTTGGTCAGGGTGGTCTGGTCGTGTGTAATCGGCACGGATAAGATGAAGGGTTGGATTGATAAGAGTAATAAAGCGATTCGAGTATAACTGACGGCATAAATACCCAGGTATCTATATACTATAATTGTATTTGTCTTGAATGTTCATGGCAAGTATATTCTATTTTCCGATGTGATATGCAGGCTAGCTTAGGACAAGTCATTTAAGTTTCTACTACCGAATACTTCTGTTCTATCCACCTTCCAAGATGGTCTTTTCGCAGCAAATACGTCTTTGGGATCAATTCTAACCTGACGTTGTGAGGTTGCGGAAAGAAAACCCCCCAGGCTAATTGAGCCCGACTATTATTGAGCTAATACGTAGCTAAGTGACGCCGAAGTCGTATAGAAACAGCGTGTGTTATATTAACTATACTCCAACGATCTTTTGCCGGATTGTCTTGTAAGCTACGGCCAACCCGTAATGGAATAGGAACAACGGGGTAGGAACACAACGCCACCAGACCCTGCAACTTAACATCGATAGTCTCCGACTGATAAATATTATTATTAGTATTCGGCATAAGTATCTATCCGATCCTGTATGATGAAAGGCGCGCCCCAAGTCTTTTTGGCCAAAGCGGGAGGGATGCGGCCAAATTGCGGAAAACTTGCGGAATTCTAGCGGAATCCCTCATTGATCGATCGCGTCATGAGGGGAGCTAGTGACCACGAGGAAATCACACTTGGCGCATTCAGAGTGATTTCAAAGTATACCCAAGGATGATCAAACGGAAAGGAATGTAT